AAATACAGGGGATGGTGTTATTTGCTTTCCTCATTTGATGCCCTTCAGACCTTTGAGGCTCGGAACGTCACTATGACGCGCAGGTACGTGAATGATGTGCACAGGGTATTTATCAGCTTGCAAACCTTGCCAGAACCATTTGCTGGGCCTTTGAGAAGCACCTGTTTCTCAGCCTACCTTTTTCAAAAGCTAGACTCATGGTGTTTCATGCCAGGTACTGTATTATAAGAACAACTTTTCAGCGGCTTTTGAAATAGGAGAAGCAGTCACCAGCTATGAATGTTACTTTATACGCTTACAGGTTGGAAAGAAACCTGAGATGTTTCTCAGTTGTTTGTGTGTGAATGGTAGGAGTGCCTGCAACAGCAAGAGGAATGGGAGTTTGAGGGATTTAAGATCTAAAAGTCATCAAGGAGAGTGCTTGGGATAAGTTTGTGCTTAAGTTACCACCACCTACTCTAACGACTTGGCGGTTTGTTTCACTAGTCTGGTTTTTCCTCGTTTCTCTGGAAAGCTTTCTTTATGTCTGTGCCTGCAGATGGAAAGGTTCTTCATCGTCTTGCCTAGAGGAGGAGAGGGTAAAGAGTACCTGTACTCCTCTAGGGACAGGGCAGTGATCATCTATTGCACCTTGAACTTCCCTCTCTGAGGAAGACTGAAATACATTTCCATTTTTGAGGTCACTTATGCAAAGGCTATAAACGGTGTATGTTCTTCCTTGGGAACATGCCTAAGATCCCATCTTCTGTATCTGATATTGCGCCCCCTTTTTTCAAAAAATTGGGAGAAAGAAATAGCAAGACATACAGTTTTAATGAAGCTGAAGAAAAACTGTTCCTGTTGCTTTTTACTTCCTGTGTAGAGGAAATGAACACAGACACGCACATAGACACGCATGCACACACACAGATATAGCAGGAAAGCTTTTTGTATCAAGTGAGATATCTTATCACAGTTTCCCCTCGGCAGTAGACTTTAAAACAGGCTATTTGTAGACTATTAATGGAGTAGTTGCTTTTAGGTCAAAACATAGAAATGTGGCTGCTGAGCCAAAGACATGTAGCTAACGATGACCATAAAGAAATGTCACCAGCGTGTAGAGAAAGAATCAGGCTAAGCCACGGGTCATAGGAACAAGGCAGTAAGAAAGCAATCCATAGATAAGTTAAAAGCAAAAGATAAAAAACTGCTTCAGGTGGAAAAGCGAATAACCCAGAAGTAGACTTATTTGATACCCTTTTGTTATGGCTTTAACTAGGTTAAAAGGGGTTTCTTAGTGCAGTTGACTTTAACGGGGGGTTAGGAGAGGAGATCAGAACAGACTCCCTGGGTCTGTTACATGTATTTGAGGTGGCAAGGTCTGCGTTTCATCACGTTGTGCTGAACACAGTAGCCAGAACAGTCTTTAATTGTTAATGATTCATTGTCATGGAAAATTGGTGGGATTCCAGGGCTCTTAGCCTGCTTAGCCTCTGCCTGTAGGAAGACCGAAGGAGAGGTAAGCAGATTATCGTCTGAAAGTTTCTGGCGTGCATTTTTGATCTTCAGACGCTGATAAAATTAGTGCTTTTCTGTGGATTCAAGTTGTGTTAAATCTTGCTTTCTTTATTGGCAGAATAACTGGCCTGAGAAAACAAGAAGGAAACTGTAGGTATTGCGTTCTTCTGTTTGCTTAGGATATTTAACATTCCTACATGTTTATCCTAAAAGCAAAGAGGATGCAAGAGCTTAAGATGAGCCATTCCAGGTCAAAGCAAAGGTCTGCGTAGGTCAGTATTCCCTCTCTGCTGTAGCCGGAAGCAGAATCCCAAGGAAGAGCACAGGAATGAGTGCATTGAGAAGCAGAGTCCCAAGGAAGAGCAGAGGAACGAGTGCATTGCAACACCTTCTCTTGATACCTTTCCCTCCAGCAGCCTCCACTGTGAACACTGTGAGCAGTTCTGGTCCTGGTTCTTAAGTCCTTTGTTTTGTTTTGAATCCATCTCACCGGTACCTGTTTCTGGTAGATCAGACTTCCTTTCGAAGCAGTAAGCCACTCTTCCAAAAACTGCATCCACTGTCTAAACAACAAAGAATAGAGCCATGTGTGTTTAAATATGCGTTTCAGCAGCCTGATCTTTCTATTGCAGCTTTGGACTGTGTGGAAACCAGGGTGTAATTATTTAAAACTCACATTCTCTCCTTCCTTTGTCTGCTTGTTTTTTGCAGGGGTAAGATTCTTTGCCTTCCCATTATTTTCCTAGGGGCACTCTTCTATTTCACATCTGTTGTCATAGTAACAAATCCAAGTATTTTTTCAATGTTTTCAGTGAAAGCTTTGGAGGAATCATACTGGAAATGCAACCTGTCTTAAATTATTGCAGGCAGCATAGACATTCCTTGGCATGCAGTACAGCTGCCTTCCTGACAAAGAACAGATGCTTCTTTGCATTCCTGGAATGATGATTGCGGTGTGTGATACCGCTTCAAGGGGAGGGTAACCAATTTCTCCTGTGAGCACATAGTTAGTCCCTTAGGTCGTCCTTAAAAAGAAAAACCCTGAGAAACCTCCTCCTCCCCCCCGACCCCCAACAACTTCCACTGCATGTGGTCAGTGACTGGAAAACCTCCAGCAGCCCAGAGAGGATTTATCCAAGTAAAGCCACTCAACTGACTCTGAGTTGTTGAAGAGATCCCTCCCCCCAAATTTTTAAAAACCAAAATCCTGCTACCTGAATTTACAAAAAAAAAAAAAAAAAAGACTGAAGTAGTTGTCTGAACATGCTCTGCCCGTTCTTCAAAGAAGGGAGAGCGTAGGGATTATAATCGAAGTGTGATCGGCCGTGTCACCTGGGAAGATCTGCAGGAGTCGAGCTCCAGGAAAGCATTTTATCAGGAGGAGCTGGAATACTCTGATTAGAATTCAACTTCTTTATGGTCTTAAAGGACTGTCTACACAGATTTCAGCACACAGTATCATTTTTTCAGGTCACAGAAAAGGATTGTCCATGCCATGAACACGCTGGGAAGCTTGTTAGCCCGCAGGCAGGAGAAGCAAGATGTTCTTTGTGGCCTGCTGATTGATTTGCGCCTAGGATGTTAGGATGCATTTGTGGAGGATTACTTTCCAGTATCAGCTGATATCCTAGATATTGGCTCTTCGTTGAAATGCAGAAATACAACAAAATACCCCGTGCTGAGTGTAAGCTTGATTGGCTTGTGGTACTAATGGGCTGTAAATGATTGGCTCCTGCAAAGTACTTTGAGGAGAAGGGCATTTAAAAACCTTTCAACCTGAAGCGCATGCTAGTGCTAACATTTTCCAATCATGATGTCTTCTAGGGGAAGTTCAATGGAAACAGTCCAGTGACTTTGGAGCTAATTATACTGTGGTGACTCCCTTGTCAGCGATTCCAGATGTGGACAGTGATGGTGTTCAAGACCTGATAATCTTCATTGCCACAGAAGATAAGGTATGTCACTCTAAAGCTATGATAAAGCCGGACCCCTTGGCACGGCAGGAATGTTTACTTGATTCCGTTCTTGCCAACTAAGAGGAACTGCCTAGAAGAAGCCGCTGAGTTTGGGGTAGGCTCTTTCCCACCCTGCAGAGATGTACTCCCAAATCAGTGCAAGTGTTTCATGGCTTTAAAAAAAAAAAGAAACAAAAGAACTAGCCTGATAGGAATCCCTCCCCCTTTTCAGTCTGTGCTCCTCACTGAGTGCTCGGAGGCTGTGTGTACAGTGAGCCCAGGCAAGATGAGCTTCTCTGGGGCTCTGCTCAGAGAAAAGGAAGTGAACAAACCCTGACAGGTTTGGCTCTTAGATCAAAGTGTAGGGGCTTTAATGTAAAGCGCTGACAGCCAGTGCTTTTGGTACAACTGCTAGCCTTTTTGATATCTTTCATATCTGAACCTATGATCTGCTTTGCCCAGTTCCCTTCCTGGTGTCACTGTGATGGTTAATTCTGACTAGGGTTCATTTAGTGATAGTGTTGTTAGTTGCCTTATCTCGATTCCAGTATTGCTTATCCCATTTCTCAGAGGGGAAAAGTCATGCAGCTAACTGCGCGTTTATACGAATAATTCTGTATCTGTGTTGGAGTGGTACAGCATCTTCTGCAGGCACAATCTGCCCTGCATAAAGCATACAGAAATTTTGGTTGCCTGCAAATCAGGTAGAGGCGTGAGAGCCCTGCGTTCTCATACCAGAGCAGCCTATAAGCAGATTCAGTCTTGCTGTCCGAGGCATTGTTGTTGCCACAGTCATCAGAAATTCTGTCCTCTCTTACTCCTACGTTTCTCTTTTGTTTTCTTCCCTCGTGGCTTTTTGCTGTTTGTTATCCCAGTTATCTCAAGACTTTTTTTTTCCTTAGGCAGCCAAGAAATGTTTGAATGCAGTTGCTGTTCTGTAAAGCTGCCTTACGGTTTGTTTCCCATTTAGCTTCTCTAGCTATCTTGGTATGAAACTCTCCCCAATCCTGCTCCTCCCTCTCTCCCTCCCTCCCAGAGGACTTGGCAAGAGCTGTTAAGTAAAAGTACACTTTTTTTTTTTTTTGAGAAAGAACAGATACAACGTGTGCCGCTCGAATGGAGCTTTGCAGCTTGGAAAAAGACAATCCCTTTGGAAGGGAGGTTTCGTACTTAAGTGAATTAACTTTGTTGCTAACGAGGGCTTGAGTTAAACATTAATTCTTCTGATTAGATTTTACTGCTGTTTCCTGAAATGGCAGAGCTTTGGGCAGTCTGTGGGGAAGGGTCTGTATGGTTGGATAGCAGGGGGTTAGGTGGCTGTTTTTCTGCGAGTCTTAATGACCCCTGCCTGCTGTAAGCTTTAGCACAAATGTATCCAGAAAAAAGTGATTTTTTCCAGGACACATTGCCTGTAGCAGCTCATAGAGTTATTAAACAGGGCAATGAGTAAGGTGGTGTTTATTTGTGTTGTGTATTCTCATTTGTTATACGAATATCATTGGCTAAAAAAATGCTGAACCAGTGCTTGCAAGCAAAGGTGAAGCTGTTCATCACGAGATGGTGTGTGTCTCCTCCCAGTGCAGGAGGCTGGGAAGAGCTGGTGGATGTGTTGCTCTACCTCTCCAGCTGCGTTCTTCATTCTCCTCAGCAAGCTCAATCCCTTCTTCTCCCACCAGACTCTCTGGATTCACTTCAAGAGTAGCAGACTGTCTTGTTTCCCAATTTCTTCCTCTCAAGGAACAGGAAAGGGTCTCGGTTCCTGCCTGACTTGGCATTTCTGTCGGATGCAGTTTCTCTTGGTGTGATGTTTCTTTTTTGCCCAGTGTGCATTGATTGCTCTCCCCAGATCATGATTGTTTCTCAGTCATTTAAATCTGATCCTGGTTTTAGTCTTTGTTCTCCCAGCTGGAATGTTTTCAGTGGATTCGGTTGCTCTGGTACCTGCACAATATAAAGAATATAAAGAAGCCCACTGGCTTTTCTGTTCTGCATGGACTCCTGTCAGCTTTAGCAGGAGTAGAGTAGGGCTCTTAAAATATGTAGAAGAGCTCCCGTATGCCTAGAACTTGGGTCCTCCCAACCCTTGTAAGACCTGTGAGGAGAGAAACAGAGCTGTGTTAACTGGTCTAGCAGTACAGTGCTTTCTGCAGGCTATGCCAGATACTGTGAAAAGCCAAGTTTCTCCCTACTCCATCAGCTGCTTTGATTCTGCCTTTAGGTCCTCTCCACCTTTGTCATGGTTCAGTAGGCTGGAATCGGTCTTTGCTGTCCTTAGCCATGATGGGGCTTGCTCTCCCAGCCCAGATCGGAGGAGGCTGGCAGCAGTAGCGAAATCTCATAGCAAATAGCTGTGCTGGAAATGTTTCTCAAACTTGCTTCCAGGCAAAAGTCTTCACAGCAGAAGGATCATATAACTTGTGCTCACACCTCCCAAGACGGAGAGGCTTTGCATCTTCAGCTTGTGCTGTTCCTGTTCAGCTGCTCTTCAGTACCAGCTGCTCAGAAGCTTTGGAAGCCACCTTGAGTTTGAGCGGTAACAGTGCGATGCCACTTTAACGCTTGTGTTTTTGTTTTTTTGGTTTTTTTTTTTCTTCTTCCTCCTTTGTAGATTAAGACATTCATCCATTCAGGAAAAAATGGCAAACAGATAGGATCCGCTGGAAGCCTGACCACGGATGGGAACGCTCGTTCTATCAGGCTTGTTCTGAAGCCTGCTTCCCACTACTTCCTTTTCTATACAGGTGTGAATCTGTTTGTGATCTAAATTTAGAAACTTCAATCTGAAAGAGTGATTGTAAGTGTGAAATCGGTCATTACTAAGCAGCAGTCTGAAAGAATATTTTGCAATTCTCAAAAGCGATGTTGTGCTTTCAACTAGTGAAAGAGCTGTTCAAGGCCAAGAGAAAAGGGTCCTTCTGCTTGGATTCAGGTTTCTTGGGTACTTGACTAGCACTAATTAGTAATTTTATTTGAAAAAAAATGTTGAAAATGTAAGTTTTAAGTAGTCACGAGTGATTATTGTGGAACGCTCGGATTATGAACAGATAGGATGTTCAAGGCATTCAAAAGCAAACTTGAATCTCAAAATACCACTACAGCTCTACGATGTAAGCTCTAAGAATACAGTTGATTTGTCAGATTCTTTTCAGAAGTGATCTGGAAATTAGTAGAGTTCAGAACAAGGGCAGGGTAACTTATTTACATCGTTCTTGCTTTCTTTGAACAGCAAACTCTCTCTATGGATATTCCCTGAAAGATCTTTACAGTGCAGCAACTGGGATGGAAATGAAGCTTCCTAGCCTTGAGCCAAATCCTCAGTGGGAGAAGAACATCGACCGCGCAACACACCGCTTACCCCTTCTCAGGTATGGCATTATGTCTTGGTTGTTAGTGGATTGGAGGGTACTGGTGTTCCTGCCCGGATGACTTGCTTTGACTTTGCTCTTTCCTGGCTGTGTTGCTGTTGGCCTACGAGCGCATCCAAGCCTCAGCGAGAGGGCTGGTATTGATGGCCTCGTCAGGACTTCACAGAAAGCAGGCTGGGGTTTCTTATTTGCATGCAGGATACCTCGGACACTGCATCCAGTGTGTGGCAACTCCAGAACCTGGTGCTTCGCCTCCCAGCTGAGCTCCTCTTTTCCTACCTTGAGCCTCTGACTTTTTACTATGTAAGACAAAACAGCATCTCCATTCAAGAAAGCCCAGTTATTTCTCTGTTCTGTGTAGCTCTGGGGACATTCGTTACCTGGCAAAAATTCCTGGGGGATCAGGGGAGAACATCTTGATTGTGAAGGCGGAGATGGCTATGCTGATCAATGGACAAAATCTTCAGACCTTATGGACTCTCAACGTGTCCCGTATCGTGAGGTAACGCTCGCTATTGTGGGTAGGGTGTGGCATCCTCAGTTTCCCAGCAGCATCATTGTTCTGGATGAAACAATACTGTATTGTATTGTTTCGTCTGAAACATAAAAGCCTGCTCTGTGTTCCTATCTGGATCGTGATCTTTGCATTTTTTGTCCTCTGCTAGCAAATATCAGGTGCCACTTCAAAATGGAAGAGCCAAAAGCTTTGATTCATTCTGTGCTTGCTGTAAAATGGCTCTCTTAGGACCGGACTAGGTTTGGGAGTGGTACCCGGCTAAGCTAACATTATAGCAGTCAAGTCTCTTACTAGGGGAGTCAGTGGGAGGATACAGGCTGCTCTAAAAGAACAGGGTAGACCCAAGCCGTCTGAGGTGCTACTTTCTCAGGGTGTGTTACGATCTGTCTGTTCTCTTCCTCTCTCTTAGTGAGCCGCTGCTTGGTTACTACAAACCTGATGTTCTTGGTATTATCCTTGAGAGTGAAATCGGGCCCAACAGGAAGAAGGTTTGAAAGCTCTTCCTTTTAGCTTCCCTTTTCTCTGCCTTTCCCAGCCCTAGCTGGCATTGAATTGAGGTGCAATTGCTACGATATGCTGTCTCTCCAGCTGGTTGTAGCAGTGGGAGAAGACTTTCCTCTTTCCTTTTGGTTGGGAAAGAATCTGTTTCAACAAGTTCTTGAAGACACTTTTAATTCTCTTCTCAGCAAGTGACTTCAAAGATAGAGCTTCGAACCCCTTAATATAGCCTGCCAAACTTGTGACTTTGCTCTGACACGGCCTCCCTCAGGCCTAACAGTTCTGTGAGGCTCACCTTCAAGTCTTTCCTTGTCTTCCCATGTTGCAGACACTTGTTCCCATAGGCCATGTAGGGTAGACAGCTGACTTGACATCTTCCTCGTGGCCTGCAGAGCTCTTTGGTAAGAGTTCCTTTTCTTTCTTCCCTGTTAGGTTATGATTGTTGAGGCTGGATCTGGAGCAGTCCAGTGGGACCTGAAGCTGAACTCGAGAGCAGACAGCCCAGGACCAGCCACTCTTTCAACCGCCGATCACCGGTCCACCTTCCTCTTCTGGGGGGAATATCAGATACCAGGAAATGAAACGGTGAGTGCTGCTGAATGGCTGCTGTGTTCCAGACCTGGCTCCGGAGTTGAATGGCACTACCTCCTTTTCGCTGTCTGTGGCACTAACACTGCAGCCCTCTGCACTGGGTGTGGGGTATGATCATGCTTCTGACTTAGGAGCAGACTGACCTCCGTGCACGGTCTGGTCTGTACGGCATCCTCATGATGTCCTTGACTGTTTCCCTGTTAGCGGCTGCTGGTTGTACCAGCAGCTTTTGTTGTCCTCAGCCCAGCTACATGGAGATCAAGGACTTACCAGCTCAATGAGCAAAGTCACTGGATTGCCTAGGAGCCCTGCCTTGGCACGGTGCTGTGGGAAGCTGCGGGGTTGGTGCCTCTGACGTTGCTGCTGTTTGGCCTGGAGCCTTCAGTAGCAGTATTGCACGCAGTGATCCCCCAGTGGGTGTCCTCCCGTGGCCACGTGAATATCCTCTCTGTGCTCCAAGGCAGTATCTGGCAGCCTTGATGCATAGCTCAGCTGCCTGATGGAGCTCGCTGGGGTGAGGGCTGGCAGTGTTAGTGACGGTTTGTGTCTGTGAGGATGCCTGAGCACCAGCTGAGCTAACTGTGCTTTCCGTGCTAACTCAGCCAGCCCTAAGGCAAAATCTATCTCCTGCGCATAGCAGACAAGACCTGCCATTTGCAGGAAGCACGGGTAGGGAGGAGATCAGTACCAGCCAGTAAGGAAGTTCCCAACGCTGGCACTGATGGCATCAGACAGGATGAGTTCGGCAGACATGGATTAGTGTCACTGGGTGCAGTCTGCCGAGCATGAACTAATAGATGAACCCGGTGCTGTTGTTGGGGGGTACGTGTGGCTCTGTGTCCTGATGGTGTCCTGTTGGTTACAGAGATCCAAAGCTGCTCTCCAGAAGCTGTATCTCTTCCACCCTTCCTACACTAATGTTCTCTTGGAGCTCCGCAATAGTACAGACCAAATAATTGCGTTCAATGGTAAGTCCTCTCCTTCCAGCCCTCCAGCATGGAAGTGTTCCTGAGTGCTGACCTTCTGGTGTCTCCTGGTAGCTCCTGAACTCTATGGGTGCAATGTCAGGCCTCGTAGCCAGTCGTCTGAGTATCGAGACCTTTGTCTAGGCTGGGCAGGGTGTCTGTTATTAACCCTCTGCTCTATGTTACAGCTACGCTGTTCGAGCGGAGCCGTCATGCCTGCTACGTGCTGTTGAGGGGGCCTCAACCCACCCAGGAACCAGGGTTTGTATCTCTCATGAAGCGTAAGCTGAAAGAGGATGTCTCTGAGAGCAGGGTGATCTGGCTGAGCCAGGTGGCTGTGGACAGCGAGCAGTACATCCGGGACCGCCTCTACAGGATGCGATTCCACAGCCGAGTGTGAGTGTGCTGAGAGAGCGGGAGAGGCTGCCCCAGCCCAGGATCCTCCAAGTTGCCTCTCCTCTGCAGCAGCACACTTAGCAAACCCAGATCATGGTTTCAAACGAGAAGCTGCCTTTTTTGATCCACAAACCAAAGCGTGGCTGGTGGGAAAGAGCCCCCCAGCACCCATCCTTGGAGCTGATGGGACTTCAGTGCTTGGCCAGCGCTGAAGTGTCGTCAGTTCAGGGAAGAAGGCTTTCCTCTCAGTCCTCCCGTGCCCACAGAGCCAGGCTGACCCAGCCTGTATCTGGAGGAAAACACGTGCTTGCTGGGGATGCCCGAGTTGGTCATTTCTCGGATGCTTGTGTGAGGAGACGTGGGGCTTCGATATGTGACGTTAGATTACCTTTCAGAGTCAGCTTTCCTGACTCCTGGAGGGATGCCTGGCCGCAGGTGGATTTGCAGTCAGCCTTTCCTGGGTTTGGCCTCCTGCTTTGGTAGTAGTGGGGTGCATGTCGTGAAAGACCGCAGCCATGACTGACAATCTGGCTAGGTGTTACCTGGGCCAGCAGAGCATTAAAGCGTCATTCTACTTAGAAAATGACCTTTTCTCCCCAGAACAGCCCCACGTTCCTCACTCTGCTGTCACTCAAGCCTACCTGTGTCTGACTTTCGTGCTGCTGACTTTCCAGTCAGCCTTTGCAGCAATGACAACTCAGAGGGAGCTGGACTCCCACCTGATGAATGCATCGACAACTCCCCCCGGCCCGGGTGGTTATAGGTGACGTAAAAGCCACCGTGAGCTTAGGCTGGCTGATCCCTGTTGGTATAGACGCTTTCCTACTGGTTTCAAGGTGCTGGGGGCTCTAGGATGCTTTTTGCTTTTTTTTGAGAGTAGAATTGCACTTTAACTTCTCCTGGAGCTGCGCATGTTGTTCCTGGGAGCTCTCTACCCAAATGGTAATGCCAGCTGTCCTGCACATGCTTGGTCAGCCTTGCAGCTCCTGAGGAGCCTTCTCCAAGTACTGTCCCCCCTGCCAGGAGGTGGGCGTGCTGTCAGACCTGAGCCGCTTGGGGAAATGGCACAAGCTCTCTTTGCAGCACAGCTCCAAGGACAGCTCTGTGCCACCTCTCTGCCCTCCGGGGAGTGGAAGTGATGCTGTGTGAGGACCTTTGGGTGCTGTTCCCTGCAAGTGTTCAGCCTGGCTCTCCAAAGGAACGGGCCTTTGCTAGTTAGGACAGGTTGCTGTGTGTAGATGACGTCTCCCCTCAAGACATCGTCAGCATGGCATGCGTGCACCGCCCTGCTCCTGGTGGGCACCAGCGCATGCTGTAAAAACAGTCGGCAAAGCCTGGAAAACCGTTTGAATAGGCTGTTTGGTCCTGGAAGCTGCTGTCCACACACAAGCTGCACTGTGAGACACAACCCCTGCTCACATGCTGCTGGGGTGTCACATTGGCTGGCGAGCGAAAGGCAGACAGAAAACAGATGGCTTAACCTGATGGAGTTTGCACCCTTAAAAAACCTCTCTCAAGTTTTGCTGGTGCTGGAGAGGATTTAGTTGGTGCCTTCCTCCCTCGAGTTGTCTCAAATCAGGGCATGTGCAGAAATACTGTAGAATAAGAAACTTGTGCAGGGCTGTGCAGGTCCAGGCATCGGTTCCTCTCCTGTGGCATGCACTGAACTTTAACCTGCTGCTGGGTAGCACCCGGCTCAGGCAGCTGCTGTAAGCTCGCTCTGCGCGCGCATCTTGAAATCTTGCAGCAACGTGAGCTGCAGCATCTGCTGCTGGCCTCTGCAGATGCAGCATCAGCGGTGTGACGGGACGCTTACCTCCTGCTTCCAGATGGTCCAATAGTTGCCTAAGTGATGCGCTCGTGCCCTCTGCCTCCTGTGGCTCTAGCTGTAAAGGGAGCTGTGCGCGACGGGCCCGTTGGCCTCTGCAGAGCTGTGCTGTGGCCAGAGCAGAGCTCTGGGGCATCGGGCTGTGCCGGCACGGGGAGGAAGCTGGGAAAGGCTCCCTGGCGGGCGCTGTGCAAACCCCAGTGTGCCCAGCGTTACAAACGGTGGGTTTCCCCTGCTGTTCCTCTCTCCCCAGACTTTTCTTAGAGTGCTTTTAGGGACGGAGGCAGGCTGCCCTGCCGCCTCCCCCGGCTTAGGTTGCCTGTTGGCTCAGCATGATAAAGGGCTGAAACCTAGCAGCCTTGCAAGTCCCTGCGCCGGCATCAGCGATGCAGTTGGGCACCGTGGTACGACTGCAGGCCGTGCCAGCGCCGTGGCGGCAGAGAGGAGACGCTGTCTGCTCGATTCAGCCTGCCCTTGGGCTGGCTGGGGCAGAGCCGGGAGCGTGGCTGCCGGAGCTCTGCGGGCAGCTGGGGAGGGCAAACTCCGGCGCTTGCATGCTGATCTGATGCGCGCGTTAGATGCAGAATATTTCCCACTGAAATTCCCATTGCGGGGGACAACTTGCCTGGGCCGTATTCTTACCATAATTACACTGTCTCGGCTCTCTTCCTGCTCAGGTCGCTCCACAGGCCTGACCCTTTCTGGTAGGTACACTGAACGTTTCTTCAGGAGAGCTGAATTCTTAGCTTTGGGGCGGCTTTTCTGGCTTTAAGTTGTGCATTAATGTTTCCACATAGTTTGGAGACCCAGATTTCCCTGTGGCAGCTCAATTACAAACACCAGTGCCAAAGCAGCACCCTCTTAACAAAGCAAGTCCTTTTTCCATCTTAATTCCCTGTGTAATTGTTTTCTTTTTTTTTTTGCAGTATTTAATGAATGACTTTGTGCCTTGATTCAATAACTCAGATGGGTGATGATGGCATATATCACTGTGTTATGTATTAATGTGTTTTTTAACACTAAGACTTCGGTTCGGTTCTTTAACTTATTGCAAATTGTGCTGTACAGGACTTGGTCTAACCGTAAGGGTTTCAATAAATCCTGTTTTGCATTGTTTGTAAACGGTGCCCTGCTTTTGCTGTTGCTGCTAACGAACCGCTGGGCAAGAATTGGGGATTTCTGGCAGATTTCTGATTCTGATCTCAGAATTCAGATTTCTAATTCTCTCCGCGTTCCCGAAGGCAGAAAACCCCCTTGCTGGGAGATACCCAAGTGTCCTGCTAACGCTTCCCTGCTGGCAGCTTGCCTTTGGTCTTAGGAAAGTAAGTGGGCGCCTCCTCCTTTTGTAAGGTAAGTGGGGGAAATGCGATGTTCTTCCTAATGGGATGTGCCCCTTCGTTATGGGATGTTCCCCCTCATTATGGTGGTGCTCGCCCCGGCCAAGCCCCGAGTCCGCTGCCTGAACTAGCGTTGAGCCAGAGGGGTTTAGCAGGCGCGTGACTTGCCGATGTTGAAGCGCAGCAGGACGAGGCTGCTCTTCCCTTCTGGGAGCGTGGGCGCGCTGGGCTGCTAGAGAGAAGGGGCAAGCGGCCCCCTCGCGGCTACTTGGCGGACGGGTTATTTCCTGCTCGTTTCTGTCTTTGGCTGCCCCTTAGCTCTGAACAGGTCGAGCGCAGAGGTAGCTCCCGCTCCGAACAGTGAGCTGCGGGGCGGCTTTGCTGCGTGCCCGGGGCCCTGCTCCGTAGCGGGTCCAGCCGGCACCCAAAGCGCCGCAGGCGAGCCGTGCTGGCGTGCCGCCGGCACCGCCGCGCCGGGGAGCAGAGCAGCCGCGCTGGCCT